GTGCTGTGAGGACACTGGCTAGAAGAGAAGATATGGCCTTCAAAACCCTTACGACCTAGTTATAGAGCTGAGATGTACAACAGCTCTAGGCAACCACCTCTGATAGGAAATGGTGTGTGTAGTGCACTCAGGGCTCTTCTTCTAGAGGGTTAATTGTTGTTTTAAGAAATATTCCATGTGTCATAATATTTCCTTATTTATTTAATATTTCATTTGATTCTATTTAAGAATTCTTAAAATTATCCTATAATATTCCATAAAGCAATGCTTTTAAAAAAATATTCCTCAAAAACAAGTCTATACAACACTTTTCAGTAGAACTTTGTGATGGACGTGTTCCGTATTTTGTCCAATATACTAGTAGCCACTAGCCACACATGGCTATTGAGCATTGGAAATGTACCTAGTATGACCGAGGAACTAAATTTGTATACTATTTCATTTAAATTATTTTAAATTTAAATTTAACTACTCTCACTTTGTAAATGTATTATGCTCCAAAACTAACTTTGAAATTAGAAAAGTGAACCACTTGCAACACAATGCTTTTTGTATGTAGCATGTTTCTAGTATTCTGTTTAGTAAACGGTCTAATTGGTTTTACAAACCATAATATGGCATTCTAATGAATTAAGGAGACCTAACAAAAGTTCTTAACCCACAACAGTAGTAGCCAATTTTTATACATAAGGAAAATACTACTAAGAAGTAAATTTTATAGGGGAAGTTTTAAAAGAGTTATTGATCAAATATAATTTCAGCAAAGCCCTTAAGGAGATTCAGTTCAGGAAAATTATGATGAAACAGCTGGTTTTATATTTCATAAAATATCCATAAAATGAGAGAGACAAGCAGCTCTGCTTCAACAGTATTGACTTTTAATTTTTCAACTAAATAATTCAATTTGAAATTAAGCAGCTAAAATATAGGTATCTACATCAAAAGGGATAGTTTCAGTATTACACAAAGCAAGGTTTTTTTTTTTATTATGACAATAAACACTCTTTCTCCCATCATTCAAACTTTATCTTACCTCTAACAACAACTAAAAAAACAAATATATAAACAGAACTTGAAGAATCTCTTTTAAAATATTTCTGAAACAAATATAAGGAATCAGTACTAAAATGAAAGTGAGAGTCTACAGGCTTATAACAATTTTATCAAACAAGCAGTTCTTGGCCTTCTAAAGTGAAATCTCTTTTTAATCATTCTGTGTTTAATTAAGAAGTAAATAACCATATTCTAAATAAGCCTGGCTCTCCCAGCCAACTTAGCTTCTTCAAAAGAAATGCCACAGAGCATCCCAGGAATTCTCCATTTGATCAGTCAGGTTGTGAGACTTCCTTTGTGCGGAGCATTGTCATTCTTAGTGCAGTTAAATTAGGTTTTATGGTCGAAAATTGCCTTATTAACTTGGTGCTTCCTGCGTTTTCATTAACTCAAAACATATGTGATATCATGATAAGCTCCCCAAAATGAAACTTCACTTCTGGAATAAGTCATTCTATTATAGCGGATGCTTACCACACAACTTGGTTTTGAACATTACATTGCTTTAATGTGCTTCCCTATGAATTGATGCTTTGGATGAGGCTATCCAACACTAGCAATTATAACCATATGCTGTGTTTTAGGCCAAGTTATTTCCCCTCTCCCCTACTGTAAAATTGTGAAGCAAACAATTTTTGAATTCCAAATTGCATTCTTTTCCAGGAGGAACTTCTGCCAAGTACCGAGATGTACCTGAAATTACCCTGCTCCCATACTAGAGCAGTGGTTCTGAACTTGGGAGATCTATCACCATCACCTAGGAGAACTTAAATAAAAGAGAGCCCTCGCGTATGACAGACCAACTCAATCAGAATTTCTGGCAAAGCAGCTCAGGCATGAGAAATTTTAAAAGCTTGGTAGGTGATTAGAAAGTGCATCCAAGGTTGGGCAGTACAATAGATCTAGCACAATAGATCTCATAGTTTAGCAGAGGGTTGGCTCAAACAGATTTAAAGGTTCAGATTCTGCAAGTCCTGAGAATATGCATCTCTAACAAGTTCCCAGGTGGTGCTGATGTACTGGTCCAGGGACCATACTTGGAGAACCAGTGCCCTAGGGCTCTGAGATTGAGTCACTCGCTTTGAATTCTCTTTGGAAATGATGCAAATTATCACAGGTCATCCTTGTCACTGCATTTGATACCACTCCTCTTCCTCTTGTAGGGATTTATCAAACAGGAGGATGAGGGAGCCTGAGGGAACAAGAAACACTCAGATTGATCCTATTGGCCCCCTGGTGGCTCCTTGGCACTTAATATATTCAGAGTTGGATTTCACTAGGATGGACCATTTTCTGGGTCTCTGAGAACAGTTCTCCCAAGTCAGCATATTACCAAGGACCTCAACCACATTAGAAAAGGTCACTTTGATTCTCCCTTTTTTAAAAGAAGAACTTTGACAGGTGAGAGTCCTCAATCCTTTATTCAACAAATTGGACTCCTACTATGTGCCAAGGCAAATAAACTAGAGCAGAAGAGAGGCAAGATCCTTGATTTTACAGAATTTATACTATAGTCACAGTAGAAGGACAAAAACCAACCAATAAAATAAATAAGAAACCTCTAGTTGGTGAAAAACACTCTGGAGAATAGAAGGCAGGTATGGATGTAGAGAGTGCCTGACATGAGGTCTGGATATCAAAGAACCATACATGAATATCAGGGGCCAGAGCTTTCCAGGCAGAGGAAGGGTGAGTGCAAAGGTCCTGAGGATGGGTTATGTTGGTTTTCTGTTTGGAACAGGAGAAAACCCTATTTGGCCAGAGGCAGCAGGAAACTGGTGAAGATTTGAGAGGCCAGTGATTTTCTGGGAGATTTGTAGGCCACTGTTAGGGGTTTTGATTCATTCCATGAGTAAAAAGACAAGGCATAAGAGGGTTTTAACCAAAGGAGTGATATGATCTTTTTTTTTTTCCTTCTCATTGTCATTCAGTTACTGTGTTGACCAGAGAAGCAGAGCTAGAGTAGAAGAAAGGAGAGGTAGTAGGTAGAAAATGCAGCATTCTGGGTGAGAGTGGATGGAGGCTTGGACTGGAAGAATAGCAACAGAGATGGTGAGTTAGAGCTCGTAGAAAGTGCTGATAGATTGGCCGTGGGGTATAAAGGATAAAGAGAATGGAAAATGACTCTTAGGTATTTGGCTTGAATAATGGTGGGTGTGTTGCAAACATTAATTGTAAGGGGGGAAAATGGTTGGGAAGCCATTTGGGGGACTGAGAAACTGGTATTTTTGCTGTGAATGTTATGGTTGAGTTGCCCATCAGAGGTTCAAAAGGAGTTTTCTAGTAGTCATTTGGATATATGAGTCTTTGTTCAGCAGAATATGTAGGTACTATGAGACTCAGTGATTCCACATGGGAGCGCTCAATCTCAGGTGGATTTATTCTCAACATTCTACCTGTAAAGAGATATAATGGAAAATTCTATTGATTTCTAAAGCCTGCATATATAACTGATCCTAGGGAAACAACAGATCCAAGTATGTGAGTAGAGATGATCTTCCCAAGAGTAAAGGAATCAATATACTGACTAAAAGCAAACCACTTGATTCATTCACAGAGGGTTAACTGAAAGGTGGAAAGCAGACTAATATCGTAAGGTATCCCTCCAATTGTATAGAGAAGGTTCCCTGAAATTTTACTTCTTAGTCTACTTCTTGACCTAGCTTTCAGGCAAGCACCAGAGCTTTTTCCCTAGGGCCCTGTTTTATGTTTTTAAACTTTTCTTTGGGAGAGAAATTTTAGAGCTCTCCTTCATCCAGGGAGTTCCTCTCTGGGCAGAGGCAGACATTTAACTTGTCCCTGTTTTCCTTCCAAATCTTTTTAAGAACTCAGCTGAGTTCCAGACTTGGTCTCCTTCACTAGCCAATCCTTTTCTTAAATATGAGAAACTTATGTGTAGCCAAAAAGAGTTAAAATTTGGAAGCGATTCCTTAGACACCTGTAGAATTTGCATTATTTGAGTACTTAATAATTTATATGGTTAAAATTTAAGACCATTTAAGTAACACAAACAAGGGACATTAGCTCAAATGACCTTGTTTTCTGTGATTCCTACTTCTACGATAATCAATAGATCACAGACATATCATCCACGATGACAGATACATCTGATCATCACCCTATCATCGTAGGAGGAGAAATATATATTAAAACACATGTGTAGAATATCTATGAAATGTTACATATTTCAATCAATATCTTCTTGGTGGAGATGTAACATTATAGCACAAATCGAATGAAAAAGTTATTATGTTATAATACTTAATAAATCGATATATAAAGCTATTATGTTACAGGAATGGTGGTAGACTTTAAAATTCACTTCCCTGTGAATTATGTATCTGTAAATTAACTTTGATTCATACCTAAGGTGGAGAGCATTTTTCGTTCCCTAGTCAAAAATTCACACTTATAAAAGGGTTATGTAAGAATTTCAAGTATCCTTACGAAAATCTACACTAGAGGTTTCATTAATTCAAAAAAAGGGATGCTCAGAATAATTATTCATTGCTGAAATAAGTGGTGTTCAAGATGTTCAGATGGCTAGATAGATTTTATGGACCTTAACATGAATAAGGCACAAGCCCTCAGCAAGGCCAGGAGCCTAATAACTTCAGATAAGTGCATTCAGTCTAGGTCTAAACTCCCTGTGGTCTGCCCTCTACTCTATTTCATGGAAGATTCTGGCCTCTGATCTGAACAGAAGGTTGGCTGACCTTCCTCATAATGAACCTTTCTTGCAAGGTGACTAGTAGAAGTTCCTGCAGTTTGAGAGTGAGAACTTAAAGGCCTAAGCTCAGTAGCAGTTTTTGTGCCTATTTGCTACAAATGTTGGTACATTTTGACAGAATTTGGTCAATTTGGTATAAGGCTTGTGTTAATTTTAGCATACCACCTGGTAGGTTGCCATGGCTCTCCCACCTGTCTCTAAATGAAGGACTCTAACAAAGTTTACTCGAAGAGCCTGAAAATTGCTGAGTGGACAAATTGGTCTAGGTTAGTTTTTCTAACTGAAGTTTAAAACATTTAAAGCATCTACTTGGAGAAATAACAGACTGAGGTAAGTATGTTTTTAAACGATTTTTTGAACAGTATTAAAGTTTTGATAACTTATTTATACTTACTCTTTCAAAAATAATGCCTTCTTCTTTCATTTTCAAGTACAGTTTTGAATTTCACTGATAAATTGGATGAGTTTGCTACAATTCCACAAAAATAGAAAATGAATGCAAAAGAAGCACGACCTGAACATACCATTCATAATGCACAGATGAAGTACACTAAAAATAAAGTTCTCTTTGTCAAATGTATATTTATACTTGTAAAAGCAGAATGTTAATCACTATTACTTCTGTTCTTCAGTCATTTAAATACACAGGCACAGAGAAGCATCAGCCCTATCCTCCCCTACTGCTAGTTAATCCACAGAGAGGCAAGAGTAATTTCAACAGGACACAGCAGGCCCTCTAGGAGCAACAGCTCCATATTATATGTACTTTAATGAGGACAGGATCTCATGCTATGGAAAAAGATATAACTGTTCCAGTGCACAGCCTCCAATGCCGTATTCCCCCACCGCCCACGCTTTTTAATGAAGTGTTTTGTTGAAATGTTTAGACAGTGTATTAATTCCAACATTGCATTTATTCATTCACTCACCAACTCTGTACTGAGCGCCTCCTGAGAGAATCAGTGGATCACTTTTGATCATGACGACTATTGTAAATATAATAAGTAATAAGTGTATTAAGTGTAATAATGTAATAAGAATAATTGTGACCCTGATTGAGAACGAAAATATTCACAAAATATTAAGTCTTTTGTTACTACCACAGTAATTGCTCATTGTTATCACATTGCCAGGATCCCTACAATTGACCCTATACTAATAGATTAATCAGGGGAGTAGATGAAAGGAAGGAAAGTAATTTAAAAAGAAAATCACCAAGAATGAGTTGTCTGAAAGGAAGTTGAGTTGAAGGAAGAAACAGATGATCTCTTGCTAACCTTCTCAACCTGTTATGGTTTTGCACATTCTGGCTCAAAGTAATACTGATAAATAAAACACAATATAATGAGGAATATCAGAAAATGAAGCAGCTTATTGGACATTGCGTAAGAGAAGTATCTTTTGTTTCACTTCTCAGAGTCAGTGTCTCTGGATGGATAATGGTGTTGTAATTTCTCAGTGAAGGAGACAATGTGCATTGTGAACGTGCACATGCACACACGTTCATGTCTGAATACATGCATAATGAAACACGATGAATATATGTGGAATGAAATACATAGGCTAAAAATTAAATTCAAGGTCTGTTCCTGTTTTTTCCTGTTATTGAATTAATAGAAACCATATTGGCTTTTAATTACATCGACCCTCATATTTTCCATTATCCACGAGAAGTGGAGAGTGTTCATCACGGGTAAAATGAATGAGTATAGAATCACCAACCTGGAATTATTTAGAGAACACCCAGATGAATCTCTTAATCTTTCCCATAAAGATGGAATAACATGTCCAAATTTACAGAGTTAGCGGCAGAGTCAGGAAAAGGATCAGACTGCCATGGATATCCCCCCACCTGCCCTACAAGCAGATAATTTCTGAGCGACTCCCAAATGGAAGCACTCCCTCTGGGTGCTTCCTTCTACCTATATCTCAGCTTCCTGGTGTTCTAATGTTTGCCCTTTTCCCTTCTCAAAACATCCTTTTAGATCCTCAGACCTTATACTCAAGTGGCTGGACGAGTTTAAAATGTTAATCCTGGGCTTCCCTGGTGGTGCAGTGGCTGAGAGTCCGCTTGCTAATGCAGGCGACACGGGTTCGTGCCCTGGTCCGGGAAGATCCCACATGCCACAGAGCGGCTGGGCCCGTGAGCCATGGCCGCTGAGCCTGCGCATCTGGAGCCTGTGCTCCTCAATGGGGGAGGCCACAACAGTGAGAGGCCCGCGTACCGCAAAAATAAAATAAAATAAAATAAAATAAATAAAGTGTTAATCCTTCTAGAAGTATTTTTATCTTAACATGGATCAAAACATAAACTAAAAAACTAAAACTCTAAACATGGACATTCAGGTATAAATGAGGATGGGCAGTTGGAGGTAGAAAGAAGTGATCAGATGCTTTCCAAAACCCTAGAAATCACAGCACGTCGTCAGTCATTTCCCTGGTCTCCTTGTTTGAAAGACAACTCAAGCATGATTTATATAACTCAAGACCTGTGAAACACTTCACCAAAATTAAATTCCACTGGTAGGAAATGTGTTTCTAATGAACAGAAAAGCCTGATAACACTGAGTCAGTTTTATGGGAGGGAGTTCCTGTAGAGTGAGACAACTTGACAGTTTCATGAGATAAAAATATGACCCAGCAATCCCACTACTGGGCATATACCTTGAGAAAACCAGAATTCTAAAAGAGTCATGTACCAAAATGTTCACTGCAGCTGTATTTACAATAGCCAGGAGATGGAAACAACCTAAGTGTCCATCATCGGATGAATGAACAAAGAAGATGTGGCACATATATACAATGGAATATTACTCAGCCATAAAACAAAACGAAATTGAGCTATTTGTAATGAGGTGGATGGACCTAGAGTCTGTCATACAGAGTGAAGTAAGTCAGAAAGAGAAAGACAAATACCATATGCTAACACATATATATGGAATTTAAGAAAAAAAATGTCATGAAGAACCTCGGGGTAAGACAGGAATAGAGACACAGACCTACTAGAGAATGGACTTGAGGATATGGGGAGGGAGAAGGCTAAGCTGTGACAAAGCGAGAGAGAGGCATGGACATATATACACTACCAAACGTAAAATAGATAGCTAGTGGGAAGCAGCTGCATAGCACAGGGAGATCAGCTCGGTGCTTTGTGACCACCTAGAGGGGTGGGATAGGGAGGGTGGGAGGGAGGGAGACGCAAGAGGGAAGAGATATGGGAACATATGTATATGTATAACTGATTCACTTTGTTATGAAGCAGAAACTAACACACCATTGTAAAGCAATTATACTCCAATAAAGATGTAAAAAAATAATAATAAGGTTACAGTGGAAAAAAAAATGTTTGAGAATCAATGCTTCAAAAAAAATGTTCAATACATGCCCTGAATTTTGACACATTAATATACGATCCATTCAGCAAATCTATATAGAGCATAAACTATGTTCCAGATTCTGACCTAGGATCTCAAGTATTGCACTAAGATAAGGACACTACTCTCCTGGAAATTATAAGGGGGTTCGGGGGAGGGGAAGGAATAATAACAAGGAAACAAACAAATAAGTAAACAAGTAATTTCAGAAGGAGTTAACTGAAATGAAATAAATAGCACTGGGAGATATGATAGGGCTTGACTTGGGGCTACTTTGGGCTGGGTGGTCAGAGCTTTCTTCGGAGAGATGATATCTGAGCTGATACCTGAGGGATGAGAAGGCAGAAATCATGAAGCAGAGAAAGAGGTTTGCGGCAACTGAAGGAACAACAAGAACCAAGGCTCTGATGTGGGAACGAGCTTGGTAAGTGACCAGAAAGGGACATGACAGGAGATGAGATCAGAGAAGGAAGGCGGAGCCAGTTGATACAGGGACTAACTAATTTGGACTTGATTCCAGGAAGTAACTGAGCAGTTTTAAGTAAGAAAGTGGTTCACTCCAATTTACCTTTGAGAAGT